TGGTATGGTCCAGAATGGATTGTAGACTCTCTGGTGGCAGGTGTGACCCAAATGAAAGAGGGTGGACATTTGCCAAAAACAGAACCTCATTCTTGATAATGTTCCCTGAAAAGTGAAGAAGAAATTAATAATGAACTTTTGGGGTTAAGTGGGTCTGGCAGAAGAGGGAGGTAATTTCAAGGGGTTGGGGGCAGGGGGACGTGAAGAGGTTTAAATCAAACTACATTAACAGGTATGATAATGTCATAGAAAGAGAAGGCGTTTCTAATATCATGGCACATTGTTTGGAGACATACAAGACAATAAAAAGCACTGAAATGACTCAGACGTAATAAAACAAATTAGGTATTAAAAATATCCAGGTAAATGTGTGTTGGTGCATTTTCAAACTATATAATATACAGTAGAAAGGTTAGCTCAAATAAAAATGTTAAAAAAAGAAAACTACACCAATCACTCCACCCCCCCACCCCCCAAATAAACAGTTGATCTTGTCTACTTTTATACTGCTACACCAGCGAGGTAGAAGTCAACTAAGCTCCAAGAGTAGGGGGATCTAGAGGGATAAGCAGATGGATTTTACAGAAATTATTTTTAGGTGAAACTGGAACTTTAAAAGGGGGACAACAGGCATGCATATTGCTAAATATGAGCAAGTGCTTTTGAGTACTGTCAAGTGATGACTGGCGTTTGGAAAGTGTACCATATTTCGCCATTTACCAGGTAGTGCCCAATAACAGTCGAGAAAAACTTGCAATTTACAAAGATATAGAAGTCCATAGTTTTCATTAAAAATACACTTTAAAAACATCAAACATAGAAATGTGACCATTTCTCATGCACCTAATTCGATTCACAGAGCTGGCAAACAGGGTCGGCGCATCCATTAGGCGGCACAAGCGCACAGCACTCCCTCCTACCTGTCATTCAGTGTAGCGGAGCGGACAACGGTATAGGAAGATCTGTTTCCTGTACCCAGCTGGACTAACAGAAGTGCTCACTGAGCGAGGACTTCCTGTCAGTGCGACCGGGTACAAGAAACTGAAGCTCCTCTTGACCACGCTACAAGAAAGGTAGGGACCAAGGGGGGAGAGAGTGGGGAGAACACTATGGGATAGGGGAGAGGAACACTAAGGGACATGGAAGGGAGGGGAGAGGAACACTAAGGGAAAGAGGACCAGTAATGGACAGGAAGGGAGAAGACCATTGAGGGAAGTGTGGGGAGAGAAACACTAATGGACATGGATATTAGTGGGAGGAGAGACATGGAGGGGAGGAGAGAGGAGCACATGGAGGAGAGAGTAGCACACAGGGGGGCGTGAGTGGGAAGAAAGACACACAGAGGGACATGAGGGGTGAGAAAGACACACAGATGGGTCTGGGGGGGAAAGAGACACCGAGGGGCTGAAGAAGAAGAAAAAAAGGCACAGAGGGGCTGGGGGGGAGATAGGCTAGTGGTGAAAGAGAAACACACAAAAAGGACACAAAGGGGCTGGAAGAGGAGACACACAAAGGGACAGGGGGCAGTAAAAAACACAAAGAGGGGGTTGTAAGAGATACACAAGGGAGGTGTAAGACACACAATGGAGAAAAATCATGGATAAGATACACTAAAGGGGGTAAGACATTTAAAAAAGGGATGACACAAAAGAAACTATTATCAAGACGTGCACTCGTTAAGTTTTTTTTTTTTTATAAACAAATCGATTCTTTGATAATGAATTGATTCATCCAAAACAAACCCTTTTAAATTCTTCTAATGCAAACACCTGATTCAAGAGTTGTTGAGCCATTTTCCCACTGGTAAAAGGCTTTCCTAACTAATTGATCCGGCTAAATAAAACTTGGAAGGGCTTTGTTGATAAATCAGTTAGTTTAAGGACAAGTACAACAATTAGACATATCTATTAGGATCAACTGTAAAAAATTATAAACAGTGGGAGAGAGAGGAAAAATAAGGAATAGGTTAGTAATGATTGAGAAGAATGTTGAACTGCCATGTCTTTAGTTTGTTTCAAAATGTGGTGTGGTCCACCGTTGGCCTGATCTCTATGGTCACAGAGTTCCAAACCTGTGCTCTCTGAACTGATGGTGGTCCATCTCCAAGAGACACACAGGTGAAGATGCTTTTTTTTTGGGGGGGATGCCAAAATCATCTTCGCCTGTGTATCTAAAAAAATCCTTGTACAGGCCCTGCTGGCAAACATATTGCTGGGTCAACATGACCCATCGTTGGTCAACACTGCTAAAAAATGAAAAGGCCCTTTTGAAATAGTAATATGGAAACACTGCAGCAGACACGTCACTGAGCTCAATCATTACAGCAACAAGGCAAACAGAGTACATTGAGGAGCATCAAACAAAACGGTACTGTAAAAGTTATCTCTTAGCAACTCTGCTTATGTGTGTAGGAGAAGGTCATCTGCAGCATACATGTGGTTGGTTTACAAAACGGTTCTAAACATACCTACTCCAGAGAAATGCCTCTGATCCATCAGAGTTATGCAGACTGGTCTTGGCACAGACAATGCTCTCAAAGCTCTCTCCTTGTCAAACTCTGGGCAAAGGATGTCACATGCAGGTTCAGAGAAAGGGGACGAACACCACGTTATCCGGCAATTGTAAAACACCAAGAATCTCTCAGAATCAAAGTGCAGGATTAATCTTGAGAATAAAGAGCGGGGGGGGGAAAAAAAACGTGTAAACATGTACAAAACAACATCAGTGTTTACAAATCAGAAATCCAGGCTAATTCATGACTATGGAAAGAGAGGGGCAGATATAAACATACTTGTCTGGATGATATCACTGTAGCTTAATCATTGCTTACATTGGATAGTACTGTTGGTACTATATGATCACTCATATGAACCCTTTCACATGCTTTCAGACCACACAACCAAACCTCAAGAGAACTCAAAAAATTGCTTTGGCATCCCGTCCATCAAACTCCTCCCTACAGCCCTTTTGCTGCTATACCTTTTCACACCCTTTGTGCTAACCTGGGGAAATCACTGTTTAGTAAACATATGCCCAATGAAAACATGCATGAATTTAATTATGCAATTTTTCATTGGAGTATACTGTATCAAAAGCTGCAGATTTCTTGTCTGCAGCTTTTGCAAGCCCTCTCCTTCTAACCCCACCCAGACTTTTTGTGGCTGTCCAATCACAGACTTCCCAATGCAGCTTAACGGGAAGTCTTTGCAAGGCAGGTGCTTTTGGCAATTGCTGCCTCTTGAGTTTAGCACCACTGAACTAACAGGGTCTTGTTACAGGACAGCTCGTCTGATGGACAGACTCTTCACACAGAAAGCACTGCAGCAAGCTGAAGTGCTTTGAGGGTCTGGAGTGTGTCGTATGTTTATGCTAAAATGTGCCTTGTGCAAATTAATTTTTTTAGGGGTCTTGGAGGTCACCAGGCATTTTTTATCTCATGCCGTAAGCTCCTAAAGATTCCACCAGTAAAATATACTTTTTTTTTGTAAATCTCTTTTTATTGAAATTTTCTTTTTATCGCCTCAATGCAGGACAAGTTACAGAAATAAAGTAAGATAGTCACAAACGATTATAAGCATGTTGTACATTTGTCCGGAGATAGGTATTAATCACATGTGCTACAATCTAACATTGGCACGTTAACAGGAGTGTGTGCTTAGGGAGAACGGCTGTATGGAGCAAGAGATTTTAAATGTAACCCTAGTGGGTTGTTATAGTGTGGCCTTCTTCTAAATGTGCCCCTAATCAAAGGGGGAATCGGGAGGTGAGGGCTGTCAGTGGTGTGGTATGACACTTCACACCATAAGGGCAAAGCCCCAAGATCCTGGGTGCCAGAGCATATAATTGCGGGCAAGTAGGCACTGTAATGTAAGAAAACAATTAGACTGGTATTAAATCAAACATTTTTTAAACAAGATATTAATGTTCGAGCTGCAAAGGTGTAAATTGGCTTTCCATGTAGTCAGGTTTCTCAGAGGATATGGATGGAGCTGCCTGCCCGGGCTCCCAGTCACATGTAGATAAACACAAAAAGAATTCAGCGCTGGTAATCACAAAATTAGTCAAGGTAGGCAGCAACCCAAATGAAGGAAAATCCCTCGGGTCCTTCGGTGGATAGATACAAAAAGATATGGAAGGGCTGCGCCAAATAAGGGTAGATAGGAGTATACCATTAGTCGCCTCTACCTCTCTTCTATTTACATATACGGAACGGTCTACACTAGACGCATCCACAGAGGAACTCTATCAAGTATCCTAGACCATCTATTGGCACCCTAGCAATACTTTACTGGACTATCTACCCTTATTTGGCGCAGCCCTTCCATATCTTTTTGTCCCAGTCACATGTGCTGGATTGTTGGTTGGCTGCCTGTTTGGAAATAGATAGGCCCAGAGCCTTAAAGAAGGTTGGTGACTTAGGAAGTGTAGATATTTTGTGTACGGTCCCCTTGTGTGTGACCACCAGGAACCTGGGGGATCTCCAGTGGTATTCCACACCCACTGCTCTCAGGTGGCTGGTGACAGTGTTCAGGGATCTTTGCCACTGTAGCGTGGCTCTGGTGAGGTCATGGTAGATAGAGAAACTTGCTCCTTCAAATGTTAGTGGTGTTTTGCCTCGGAGTGCTGTCATCAGCAATCTTTTGTCCTGTGAGGTAGAGCAACGTACGATCACATCTTGTACCATAGTGGAGGCTGCTCTGCCCATTGATGAAATATGGTAGATCCCATCTATGGTGTATTTCTTAGCATGATTCGGTGGCAGTATTGCGGCTACGAGTCACCTCATATAGTAAGGGAGCTCATCAGGTGTAATGGTGTCAGCGCTCCCTCTAAGCTTGAGGTGATTGCATCATGTCCTCTCATCCAGAGCTATGTAGTGGAGCGAGAGGGGCTGACCCATCTGAGTCCCCCTCTTTTGTTGGTATCTGCTCTGGTGGCAAGTCGGGTTGTATGGGGTCTGCTGGTACCTTTGTGGGTTCACGGTCAACCGCTTCCGCCATTTTAGGGGGTGGTTGTCACTGCAGCAAGGCCCCTATGTCCATGGACCCAGAGAGTGATTTCGCTGGTGGCTTTTGGGACCATCGGCCCATTGATGCTGGGTCAGGTAAGTAAGCAGGGTTCTTCTGCCTCCGGGTCCCCCGGAGATTCAGCTCCACTCCGCAGGTCCAGCCAATCTAGACTTGCTGTGGATCTGTAGGCCCCAGACCTGCTTTTCTGCCATTTCACCTTAGTGGCGTGTACAAATGGCATAAGGTACTCTTGTGATGCACACTTCTTGTATCACTGGCCAAGAGTAGGGTTTTTGAGGATTTGAAACCTCTAAAAATCAGGGGAGCGATGCAGAATGGCGTCTGCTCCGACTCGTGGTTAAGCTCCACCCCCATAAAATACCTTTTTTTTTTATTCTCTGTTTTTTTTTTTTTTTAGATAGAGCAGATGATTTCCTTTCAAATAGTGGATTTTGGGGAAGAGAGGGGATGTTTCTGTGACATTTAATGAAGCAGAAAATAAGGGGTTGAAATGGTCTCACCCTTTCAGCTACCTTTTCAGAATGGCATTTGAGGATTCAAGCAGACCAATGACATCACCACATGAAACATAGAAACATAGAATGTGACGGCAGATAAGAACCATTCGGCCCATCTAGTCTGCCCAATATTCTAAATACTTTCATTAGTCCCTAGCCTTCTCTTATAGTTAGGATAGCCTTATGCCTATCCCACGCATGCTTAAAAATGCACACTATGCAGTGTACTATAGCCTTGTCTACCACCATCCCAACTTCATATATCCAAATATTGTAGTAGTCTTCATGTGATTTGCATTATAAATTAGCTCCCCTGTAAATAAGACACATTTCATCCATTACGTTTGCTGACGATCCCAATGACTTAACTTCCTAGCATTGGTCTTGCTAGATTTGATTTTTCAGTTTTCTCCTGACTTCCGGCTTGTATTTCCGATAACCTCATTTGGTGCTGTACTGACTTTGACCTGTCACCTTTCCATGCATTTCATCTCCCTGCGTAATGGATCCAGACGCTCCTCACAGTACTGTTGTACAGGGTGCCTACCTGCCATATCTACTTGCAGTCATTGCAGGTACTCAACAGCAGTAAACTAGACATTATGATAACCACTGTGAAGAAGACACTTGGAGATGGATCACCATCAGTTCAGAGAGCACAGGTTTGGAACTCTGTGACCATAGAGACCACACCACATTTTGAAACAAACTAAAGACATGGCAGTTCAACATTCTTCTCAATCATTACTAACCTATTCCTTATTTTTCCTCTCTCCCACTGTTTATAATTTTTACAGTTGAGCCTAATAGATATGTCTAATTATTGTACTTGTCCTTAAACTAATTGATTTATCAACAAAACCCTTCCAAGTTTTATTTAGCCGGATCAATTAGTTAGGAAAGCCTTTTGCCAGTGGGAAAATGGCTCAACGACTTTTGAAACAGGTGTTTGCATTAGAAGAATTTAAAAGAGTTTGTTTTGGATGAATCAATTCATTGTCAAAGAATCGATTTGTTTATATAAAAAAAAAATAATTTAACGAGTGCACGTCTTGATAATAGTTTCTAGTGATTTGGCTTGCACTATTTATAAAAGAAAGATATGTCTTGGCTTAAACTTTCTTCCACTACATCACAACATCGTCAATCTTACAAATGGCCCCAATAAAGAAAAATAACTTTTTATTATATATATATATATATATATATATATATATATATATATATCTCAAGCATTCTCCCCCTCATCCCCCGTACCTAGGTGATGGGTCTTGCCAAACCCCTCTTTTATTTTCATTCCTTGCTCTGGAATACTCGTTGGCTCGCACACTTCCGTACAGCCCAAAATGGAAACGAAGCCACCTTAAACACAGATCATTTTCAGTAGGTTCTCCAGAATGCAGATCTTTAGGAACCTTTGAGGACTCTTCATGTGGATCATCGCCCAACAAGCTGCCCTCTGCTTGCTGGCTTTGTGTATGCCCTTCCTCATGCTGACATAAATCATCATTTTTGGAATTTTTATTATCATGGCCAAATGCCATGTATAGATTTTTTCCATGAACCTGAAAACAACAACAACAATCCATGATAACTGTTGACCTTGAAGCCACCATTCTGTCCCTCAATTAATCACATAGTTATGGTCATACTTGTTGAGTGAGGCGGCCTCTAATCGTCTCCTCCGCTACATTTATAAAATAATCCTATGAGAAGTGGTGTCGAGCTGGCCCTATGTAGAGGAGAGAGACCGAGAACAAACTATGCCAAGTATTTTAGGGGCTTAGAACTCTATAAATACAAATAAACTTTACCATTTGTAGCCCCATGGATTTTACGCAAGGTTTTTCCTAGCAAGTCCATTTATTCATATGGTATACATTTTTGTTTACATATTTTTACAAAATAACCTAAAAATAGTGCTACCAATAATATTGATAGGCCTAAAATTTATTTTGTGATTTCACTATAAATCCTGTGTTACCCTCAGTCTTGCAATAGCCCCAAACCATCACCTGAGAATTTATAAAATGTTGTCCCTTCAAATCTTGAGGATTGATCTGACGTGTTCTTCCTCCAACATTTACAATTAACATATTCACAAATGGACGGACCAGTGAATTGAACTTCCGTACAGTTGGACCTTCTGGCATCTCTGTAAAAAACACAGACCTGTATTTGATTTTTCAGTAGCAAACATAATGGAACAGTGATGTTACTGTAACAGAGGTTACACATTTGTACTTCCCATAACACGTCCAAAAGCCTTCTACCATTGTATGTACAGAATAGTCTTTTCTCCCCTGTTTGCCAACTCCCCTTTTCTATTCTATAAAATTGACTGATTTTGGGTTTTTCATGTTCAATTTGTTTAGCTAATGCATATGAAAAGTACTGCATTTCCATATGGGTTAGAAGCCAGTAAGATAAGAAAAAATTAAATAAAAAATAAAAAAAGATAAAATTGGATTCCATTATTGAATCTATTTGATGTCTGGTGCCAGCGTACGGTATGCACCATGTGTGTCCAAAGCTTCACTATGAGCTTGCTGGTGTGATTTAGGGGTTACCTGCATGTACCCTCTCACTCTGTACGATAACTGAAAGATGAAGGGAGTGCTTCTAATAGGGAAGCAGCTATTGCCGTACATATGACATGTTTCCCATATTTCTCTACAAGTTGCAGTTGATTAGTTACTAGGGATGTGCATGGGGAAAATATTTGATTCGGTTCGGCATTCCGAAATTCGGAACATCAGCATTTCTCTTGCAGCCACTTAGTAGATAACTCCCTGATTCCCACGGTATTAACGAGCTATCTACCAAAAGGCTAAAAGACCTAAATTGGTCTTTCAGCCAAATTTACTAATACGAAGTAAAAATTACTTAGTATTAGTCAATTCTGCCCCTACTCGCTATACCGCGAGTAGGGGCATGTCTATAAAACAGTGCGGCTGCTCACTGGTAAAAAAAAAAAAAAAAAAAACACACACAAAAAAAATAAACACAAAAAAAGTGTCCCCCCTCCCAAGCCCCCACCCGTGCCACGTGAGTGGGGGCTTTTTAACTGAAAGGGTGACCTATTGCCCATCCCAGCCCCTACCCCTGAGCAGCGGGTGGGGGCCCTAAAGTAAAATAAAAGGGGGGACCAATTGTCCTCCTCCCCACCCCGCGCAGCCAGTGGGATTATTTTCTCTGAAAAGACAGTGTTTACTGCAAAAAGCCTGAATGGAATGATTCTACTTACCAGAACAAATACAATAAGCTGTAGTTGTTCTGGTGACTATAGTGTCCCTTTAAGTTTGGAAGCTTAAGAGGGATGTATGGGAACAAAACTTGTGTGCACTTGCTGACATTAAAGTTAGTTTAGGTAATGCAGACGTTGGTCTCTCTAACACTGTGGCATGTCCCCTTTCTTCTACACTCACTACAGACATCTTTTCTCTGTCTCAGACTATATACCAGGAACTTCTGCCTGCTAGTAAGAAGGTAAGGAGACAAGTGGACCAGCGAGTGCTAGGGGACAGTCCTTAGAAAGCATGGAGTGAGCGCATCATTGGACGCATTTATGTCAAGCTCAAAGTGCTGCCTGCATAGTATGCCCTTAGTTGGCCTGCTGCAGGATTGGCAGGCAGCCTGACATGCATTCATGCCAGGCTGACCTTCCAATTCTTTGGACAAACATTCCCCCTTTTTGGGCATGTTCACCCCTTTTGGCAGGTCTGGTCACGTGATTCGCGCCAGTGACACACCCTTTTACCCCGCCCATTGACTTCCTGGTTCACTGGACACTGCTGTTAGGGGGTATGGATTTACTTGAAAGATGAAAGCATAAATTAGAGAGAAATTAGCATAGGGTATGTGTTTTCTTATAGCTGCATCCTATGAGTTTCCCTCCAGCACCATCTCCATCAGATACATGACGCTTGGGAGGTATGATTGTTTTAGTGTTTTTGGACAATAAGATTCTGTAATTAGGCCCATCATAATTGTCAGCACCAGGCCCACTGGGCTCTTAATCCGGCCCTGCCCTACTCGCCTTACAGCAAGTAGGAGCATAATTTACTAATACTAAGTAATCTTTACTTAGTATTAGTAAATTTGGCTGAAAGACCAATTTAGGCCTTTCAGCCTTTTAGTAGATAGTCCCCTGATACCGTGGGAATTAGTGAGTTATTTACTTATTCATTCCTGTCATTACATTGACTGGCCAACTTACATTTTATATGAATGTGTGTTACTTGATTGTTGTAAGTGTTGCAAATGCTTACAGCTGAATCCTGGCTATGTTTGTATACTTTTTATTTAAACGTGTATACAATGTAACATTCTTCCACTGGGTAGGTATATTGGTACTTCGACAATACTGTGCTTCCGAACTTCGGCAATTCCGGAACTTCAGAAGTCTCCAAATGTCCGAATGGCCGAAATTCGTCCTAATTGAAATTCGGAACGAAATTAATTGCATGTGTC